TTTATTCTTACACACCTTGCATTCTAAACGCAATTCTTTTCTCCAAAGTCCCCTTTCTTTCAATACTAATCTTAACCTGCTTTCCTCTCATAGTCAGATCCTCATAATTTTCTCCAAAAACTATTTGCTATATTTTTTTATTTCTATCGGAATTAAAAAAAGTTGTTGATCGCATTACTGGTTGGTTCCTCCAGGTCCTAAATTCATTCTTGATGTGATAAGGGCATCCTTTGCATATACCGCATGGTTAGTGCTGTTATCAAAGGCAAAGACGGCAGTCGCATTGGGAAACTTCACTTCAAATATAGGGATTACTTTATTTCTTATTTGGTCTAATAAATAGTCAACTGTCTAATAGCTTTCTTGGTTTTTACCAGGCATGAAATAACAATGAGCCTCTGCAGGAACATCTGAATATATTTCTACCTCCTTATCAGTCAATTTCAACCGACTACATTCTTCTGTTAGAAATTCACTTACCATTATTGATCTTCTATTTCCCTTTTTTCGTAAAGGCATCTCATCATCATGTACCCAAATTCTTTTTTTTCTATCGTTTGAATAAAATATACATTCATCGTGGGTTACAAAAATTAACTCTTGTTCCCTTTCATTAAGTACCGGTAGAACTTTTATCATTGATTCTCCCTCATATGTTGCTATTCTCTGCTCTAATGTTCTTAACCTATCTAAAAACATACTTCGATATACTACAATATCCTCTCGCTTATGTCTATCAAAATACATCCCTTTTTATATTCCCTACATTTATATCCTAAAATATCTAACCACCTTTCTGCTGTTCGCAAACAAAATTTTTTTTGAAACCCTCCTATACACTCTGGTAAAATATAATCATTTATATACTGCATAAAACTAGTTGGACTAATTCTATTTGCTTTCGATTTCTTACATATCCATTTTTTACACTACAAAGCAATGTCTTCGTCATCAATAAGTCGATGGTGTTTTTGGTGTCGACCATGTTGTGTAATTGGAAATAATTTATGGTGTAAATAAAATTCTGCCAAAAAGCGAATCCTCTGGGATGTATATTGTTTTGGAGAGATACAGACAACACACACAGCTTCATTACTCACTTTCATTTTGCCATCACCACTATCTAATCGCACCAAATATTCATAGACCGCTCGTCGTTCATTATATTCAATAGCTGTTAAATTTTTTTGATTCTTTGTAAGGTCTTCCTTAAGTTGTTCGATCCTTTCATGAAGCGTAAATTCATCATCCACATCCTCATTCAAAGAGACACCAAGGGCGTAGCCCTTCTGAAAAACTCACTTGCCCAAGAAGTTATAGGAAACATAGAAAACGTGGAAGGTATTGAAAACCTTCTGGACAACTCGCTTAATGATAATAACAATAATTAGAACCTTTTACATATACTAATTACACAAAAACCAAAGATACATTACCAACCTTGCAATCCTAAAAAAGTCAGTAATTTGATAGGTCTCCTTGGCGGCGTTTGCAAGCATACCGGAAGCACCGAACTTATGATAATACGTTGATTTTGGTAATCCTTTAATTATTCTTGCATTTTCCTTTTTATCTTTCTCCCATATGATTGTTGGGCTGTCATTGCTTCTTCATCAAGTTCTTTTCCACTTTCTTCATCAA